GCTGCTGCTGCTGTTGCTGCTGCTGCTGCTGGTGGGGCTGCTGCTGCTGCTGTTAGGGCTGCTGCTGCTGCTGCTGCTGTTTGCGCTGCTGCTGCTGTTCGCGCTGCTGCTGCTGCTGTTTGCGCTGCTGCTGCTGTTTGCGCTGCTGCTGTTGCTGCTGCGGCTCCGGCTGCCGTTGCTGGTGCTGCTTGTGGCGGTGGCGCTGGTGCCGTAGATGCTGCAGCAAGCCGTGCAATAAACGTGGTTGCTGCTGCTGCTGCTGCTGCTGCTGCAGGGATGAGTCTGGGGAATTTTTTATACGCGAGGCACCGCAAGACCCGCAGCTTTCGAGTTGGCGCTCGAGGTAGCAACAGCAGCAGCAGCAGCAGCAGCAGCGGCAACAGCAGCAGTAGCAACAGCAGCAGCAGCCGCAGCAAACTGTTTCCACTGAATAAGCATTATCCTCCCGCACTCCATCTCTGGTGCTGCTGCTGCTCGTCCTGCTTATGCTGCAGCTGCTTTCTGTTCATGCTGCTGCTGCTGCTGCTGCTGCTGCTGCTGTTTAGGTTTGTGTTGGTGCGGGAGAACATTCCTTCGTTTATGCCGCCGCTGCTGCCGGAGAGACTTCTACTGGCAGGCAAAAGCGTCCTCTATAGCCAGTAATATCTGCTGCTGCTTCTGCTGCTGCTGCTGCTGCTTGCGCTGTTGGTGCTTGTGCTGCTGCTGCTGCTTGCGCTGTTCGTGCTTGTGTTGCTGGTGCTGCTTGCGCTGATGGTGCTTGTGCTATTGCTGCTGGTGCTTGTGTGGCTCCCGCTGCTGCTGCTGTTTCTGCTGCTGCTGCGGCTGCTTAGGGTGCTCATCCCGCTTGTACTGCTGCTGCTGCTTCTGTTGACGTTGCTATAGATGCTTGTAGCGGTGATGCTTGCTTTGCCGCTAGAGGCGCTGCACGTTCTGCTGTTAGTGCTGCTGCAGTTGCTGCTGCTGCTGCTGCTGCTTTGATTCTGTGGGCCGTACTACGGCAATGAGCAGCAACGGAGACACTTGAATGTTTCCTGTGTCTCCTCTATGCCGTTTTGCTTCATGCTGCTGCTGCTGCTGCTGCAGTGCTGCATCTGCTGCTGCTGCTCCTCCTCCTGCCTGTGTGCCCTCAGGCTGCTGGAGAAGCCAGTGAAAGCCGCAGCAAATCCACAGCAGCAGCAGCAGCAGCAGCAGCGGGAACTCCCCGCCACCTTGCAGGAGCTGCTGTCTCATGAAGAGCAGCAGCTGTTGTTGCAGAGCCCTCTGCAGCAGCAGCAGCAGCAGGAGCTGCTGCTGCCGCAACGCTACCACAATGGAGGTCTGCTCACTTTACCGGAGCAGCAGCAGCAGCAGCAGCAGCAGCAACTGCTGCAGCAGCAAGAGATGCGGCAGCAGCCACATGATCCCGAACTGCCGCTGCTGCAGAAAATCGACGCGCGAGTTGCTGCAGCCTCAACAAAGGGAAACCAGAGGCAAGCAGCAACAGCAGCAGCAACAGCAGCAGCAGCAGCAGCAGCAGCAGCAGAAGCATGAGCACACAGTGCAGGCTTCGGATAACGTAGAGAAACATCGCAGCAGCAGCAGCAGCATCAGATGTAGCACCAGTAGCAGCAGTAGCAGCAGCAGTAGCAGCAGCAGTAGCAGCAGCAGCAACAGCAGTAGCAGCAGCAGCAGCATGTGCTTGCACGGTTTTATTGCGTTTCTGCTTTGGGGTGCACAGGCTGGTGGCGCTGCTGCTGTGGGAGCATCAGCTACTCAGCTGCTTAGAGGCCATGAGACGGTCAGGCTGCTGCTGTTGCTGCTGCTGTTGCTGTTGTTGCTGCTGCTGCTGTTGCTGCTACTGCTGCTGCTGGTGCTGTGTGAATAGATGGGAGTATACCAGCAGCAACAGCAGCAACGCAGGGTGGAATTTGTTTGGAGTTTGCTGCTGCTGCTGCTGCTGCTGCTGCTGCTGCTGCTGAATTCTCCTTTGTATGTCTCCTGACAGTGTATGGTGGGGTGGTTGTCTGCTGCTAGATGTGCTGCTTTATTTTTCTGTCTCCTGCTGTTGCTGCTGTTCCTGCTGTTGCTGCTGCTGCTGCTGTTTCGCTCTATTTGCTGCTGTCTCTTCTTTAAGAGGCACCTCCTTGTTTATTGTCTCCTTTCCCCTGTCTTTATTTATATCTCCGTCTTTGTTTTAATTCATTTGTCTGTCTTTGTTTTACTTTTATTTATTTATCTGTCTTTGTTTTACTTTTATTTGTTTGTCTGTCTTTGTCCGTCTGTTTGTTTCTTTATGTTTTTGTTTTTCTGTTTGTTTTATTTTGTTTCTCTGTTTGTCTTTGTCTCTGTCTCACTTTATTAATTTTTTTGTTTTTGTTTGTCTCCTTTTCTTAGTTTTCTGCTGCTAGCAGACGGCGACTTCACCTCCTTGCTGCTTGACGCTGCAGCGCAGCAGCAGCAGCAGCAGCAGCAGCAGCACGGCGGCAGCATCTCTCTGCAGCCCCTCATCCTCTCAGCCATTGATACAGCTGCTAGACAATGTACGGCTTGTTTGAAGCAACAACAGCAGCACCAACAGCAGCAGCAGCAGCAGCAGCACCAATGGCAGCTATAGCGACAGCATTAGCAGCAACGGCAACAGCAGCAGAAGCAGCAGCAGCAGCAGCATTACCTGTATGTGATTTATTCTGTATGCTCAGGCAGCAGCGGCGCTAGTCTCTTTGCTGCTTCTCCTTCTCTGGCGTTTGCTTTGACAGCTCGCTTTCCCCACACATCCTATCTGCAGCAGCAAAGCAACAGCAGCAGCAGCAGCAGCAGCAACACCTGCAGCGCGTTGTGGCGGGGCCTTGTGCTGCACCTTCGCATAGAAGAGCCCCTTCGGTTTTTTATCGGAGATGATTTGCTGCAGCTCTGCCACAAAATGTTTGCCTTCCTCTGGAAGTCAGCTTTAGCTGCTGCTGCTGCTGTTGCTGCTGCTGTTGCTGCTGCTGCTATTGCTGCAGGGCTGAGCCTTGCCGGCTGTTGCAGTTGCTGCCTTTTGTATTGGTGTTCGCCCTCTTGCTGCGGCGCGTGTT